ATTGGCGATGGTTTGATGCCTATTATACATAAATCTGCACCACATGTGGCATTATTCTCTGCTCGAGGGAAGAATATAAAGGACTTCAGCTTCCAAGAGGCGGATCTTCTCAAACCAGATATATTAGCCCCTGGTTCTTTGATTTGGGCTGCTTGGTGTCCAAATGGAACTGATGAGCCAAATTATGTCGGTAAGTAATGGCTTGACTAAGTTGTGTCTTCTTTGCTTTTGGTATTTGAAAAATTCAACCTACAATTATACATTTCTGCCTCACCACCCGGGCTTTAGCTCATATGGATGGTGAGATATGGGGTTTTAGGCATGGTAGATCTGAGGGTCAATTCCAATTTTTCCCCAAAAAATAAATCTTTGAAACTTCAAAATTGTTCATAGGAGCAAGTGGTTGGCTGGATGATATGCTGCATTGCTGCTTTAAACATGATTTTTTTTTTCTTTTGTTTATCTTGACATACAACTACACGAGAAATTCATTGATATAAGAGACAAGATAACCAACTAGACATGAGAACTCCTCCTAGCAGAAAAAATAGAACACGTAAATTGTATACAAAAAAGCTGTCAAACTAATATGCTCTAACTAAGAATATTTGATGTTAAGGGTTTCATTTTAATGATCATAAGCGACAAGCTTTATTATAGGTAAGGTATAATGGAGATATGATAACTGCATTGCTTTGTTCTTTCTTCTGAGAGTTAAGTTCTAATTAGTGTAAACGACATCACTTTATTATGAACATGGAATTCTCCTTCTCATTTTTATATCTATTTATTTTTCTCTTTTCATGATAAACTGATTTATCTTTGAGCTTGAACCTTAATTGGATTGTTTAGGCAACAAGAAATTTTTTACACACAATAATCTTGGAATGAGATGTGTCATAATAACTCCATCCATTGCTTTCAGATTGAAGGTATAGTAAGTTTTCAAGTGGGAGTGATTATTGGTTGATCCCTTCCCCAAGTTTGTATAATCCAATTGATTATGTGCCACAGTCAATTGAATATGCCCTTCAAAAGGCTGGTCTCCCTGCATCTAGCATTGACTGGTTACTTCTCCATCAGGTACACAAATTGATCTATAAAATAAAACTTTGGCATGTCATCTAATATACATATATATATATATATATATATATATATATATATATATATATATAACCCGGGAATGTATGTCTGGGAGTATTACTGATGAATGAACCAAATCTTTCATCTGTTGTCTTCGTAGCATAACTGTTGCTTATAAAAATGTGATTATAATTTAAGGGATAAGTGGCTATTAGTTTGAAATTAATTTGTACTTTTGTTTTCATGAAAAAAGAATGGGAAATATAAATTAAAAGGGTGGAGAAACCTGATCTATTATCCAACGATTCAATAGCTGCACGTGGGTTATAGTATCACTTTGCTAAGTGGTAAGATCTAATTTTATAATTGAAAATAAAGTAAATTTGAGTAAACTTGGTAATTGCATAGCATACATGATAATATCTTTACTTGGGAGAAAGGAAGGTTATATAGACTTGATTTTAAGTGCAGGCAAACCAGAGGATTTTTTATGCAGTTGCCACACGGTTAGAAGTGCCATCAGAAAGGAAGATATCAAATTTGGCTAATTATGGAAACACAAGTGCAGCTTCAATTCCCTTAGCTTTAGATGAAGCAGTTCCCTCAAATTTCACGGCAATATTGCAGCACTGCACTCCCCTTAACTTGTCCTTTTCTTTTTCTTTTTGTCTTCAATTCACATTCTCTTTTGTCTTCTTTTCTCAAGTATCCGAGATATATGTATTTGTCATTCAGATTTATTTTGAACGAGGCTTATTATTTATGTTTATCAATGGTACTTGTAAATAAAATTGTAGCATTGAAGTGTCTGCTTGCTTATACTCATACTTGTCCGCACCAAACAACCACTTCATTTAAATATTTGTCTTTTTATCAGAACAATTTTTTTTGCATTTCTTTTCAAAAGAAAAAATGACAGTATGGAGTTATGTACAATTTTGTTGTGTAACACCTCAATTACATATTTGTATTTCAGAGAATCAATCAATAATATTCGACAATCAAGCATTGCACAAGATTGAGTGCAATGTGAATTATGTACTCCATTGGTAGTTATTACAGTAAAATTGAATGCATGATAATCAAGCACCATAACATATAATTGGGCTGAAGTCAGAATAATATACTAATTCACAATACATTGCCTTTGTACCAGTTCATACATATCATGTCTTTTTACACATAAGATAGATTTCAAATGCTATCAAAATACTTGCCCAGTACCACTGGAATGAGGCTGTATCATTAACCTCCACACACGGTGTCCAAAGACACAGATCACAAACTTTGATATGGAGGTTGGCAAGTGTAAGCCTGTTTACGGGTAGAGGTAAATGATAGGTTTGTACTAAAAAAAATAAAAAAAGGGTAAAGGGCAGGTGATTCAAAAAAATTTAACAACAGGGATATTTTCGTAATTGTCACTTATTTCCCCATCTATATTTTACCTCAAACCAAACATAGACTTTATAAATCTTACCTAATTTGCCTGGTGAAATTTTTTCCAACCAAACAACTTTTTTTACATTTTCCTACCAAACTCACTTCCCAACCATTTCCCTATCAATTACATTTCCCTAGTATTCAAAAAATTTCCCCCCAACCAAACGCCCCCTTAGTATTTTAATAACTCGTCCTATCTCGGAATTGATTTCGCCGGGTTACTGACCTCTCCTCACGGGTTGGAATCAGCCATTAAACTTTGTATGCACGTTGACTAGGGGTGTGTATGGAGCGATTTAGTTTGGTTATTGTCAAAAATTGAACCCAATCAGTTTTAAACGGTTTGGATTTTAAACCGAATCATTTTTTAAAAAAAAATCGGTTTTTAATTTTTCCAAACCGGTTTGTGGTCCATAACCGGTTTTGATTTAAAATCGATTTTAAACCGGTTTTAATTCAAAATCGGTTTTAATTCAAAACCGATTTTAAATCAAAACCGATTATGAACCACAAATCGGTTATCAAGATTAAAACCGATTTTATACAATTTTTTTTTGAATAAATAGGATGCAGATCAATGAATTCATAATGTATTTAAATGAGTTCAAGAAATTGAAACCGGTTTTATAACAGTTTTAATTCATAATGTAATTAAAACTGGTTTTAGTGACTTTGAAACATGAACAACAAGAGGGACTTTTTGCATTCATATGAAGCTCTAAAGTTAAACCATTCAAGTAATTTTATATGAATTACTAAAACTTGATTATGAGAATGTGAATCTAGACTTGTTTTCAAGCTGGATGCTCCTTCTAGAGAGATATTAGGAATTGCATTTTCGTCTGCACTTGTTGTTGCTGCTGATCCCATTGCTTCTCTCATAGATACTGCATTCATAGGCCACTTGGGTATTTATCTTTTCCTTGTCGACTCTTGTTAAGGCTAACTTTTCACTATTTTAGCTTTTGAAGCTAAGTTTTCCTTCTCATTTGTTTAGGACCGGTGGAACTTGCTGCTGCAGGAGTTTCCATTGCTCTGTTCAATCAAACTTCAAGGATTTTCATATTCCCTCTTGTCAGTATTACAACTTCTTTTGTGGCTGAGGAAGATACTATTGAAAAGCTGAATATTGAAGCAGCAGAAAACAAGTTGTCCGACAATGATAAGGCTAAGTTCAGTGAAGCAATGCATGAGGATCATAAGCTTCAAGAATTCCTAATATATGCAGCTCAGCATCAAAGTCAATGCAGCTGGTCTAATTTATGCAGGCCACAAACAAAATGATAACCAAACCATATTTAAAATTAAAAAGTGGATATATTTTTTAACTGGTTTAAAAAAAAACGATTTTTTAATTTGGTTTGGTTTAATTTGGATCAATTGGATATTTTGCACATCCCTAATGTTGACTCCTTTAACTCTCGAAATCCTCGGTTGAGCCCGTGACTCTAGGGTAAGAGGTGGTCACTACATTTTTTTTTTTAAAAATTACACACAAAAGACGTTGTTTGGTGTGTAAAAAAAAATCAAAACAAAACAAAAATTCGTTGCTTCCTAGATCTAGAATTAAATCTGAAATATGAATCATTCTTCTTCTTTTCTTTAGATTTTTTTTCTTTGATCCAGACTCAATCTCCCTAATTCGGTGATCTCCTCATATCATCTTCGGTCTTCTCTCATCCTTTCCCCTGCCGTGCTGGTTTTTCTCTCTCCACCGTTGATTCGTCGCGCCGCCTCCTCTCCTCCATTGTTCTCTCTTGGGTAAGGGATCTCCTTTTACATGCTATTGTAGGTACATGAGTTTGATAGTTTGATACTTTAATTAGCTTGAAATATGTATTTTATATTTTTATACTTTGATTAGCTTGTGTGATATTGACTTGTGAAAATAATTAATTGAATTATGTTCAGTATATTTTCAATCTTTGATGACTGGTGGTTTAATTTTTTTGAATTTTTCATATAAGATTTATATTTCTATTTTTTTAATGTATAAAATCAAGTCAACAAAATGACCTCATGACCCCGATTAAACCCATAAACTCGTGATTCCTGGTCTCAACCGAGTTGATAACCACACCGAATTTTTAAACACCGACTCTAATGCGTGAAGCAAGAGCTTATGCATGAGATAAGTTGCGGAGGAAGGGAAAAAATTTCATTTTGAAACCCTTAAACAGGTCTCTAAGTGATGAGACCAATTCAGGACGATTCTCTAAGCTCTTCTTTCTCCTTTATTCCCCTCAAACATTTTATTCACATTTTTGTGCAGCTTTTCCTTTTATGAATTTCTTCTGTTAATAATTATTGCATTATTTCGGCTTGAAGAATTTTATGAAGAGAGAATGACTATTTTATAAAGAATCATTTCAACCCAAAACTTTAAAGTATTAATTGAGGATCTTTTTAATAGTTTATATTATTTTTTAATATATTCCCTCGTACAAAAATTCTTAGGGCTTAAAACATAAATATTACATAGACCAATTTTTTTGATTTATCTTATGCTTATTTAATTTCAGTAGAAAATGGAGGTGGTGATGATCGAGCTTATAACCTCATGATCACTAAAGCTCTGACCATATAAAAAATTATTTTAACTCAAAATATTAAGATATTAGATAAAAATATTTTTAATAATTTATATTATTCTCTAACATATTTTCTTTCTAAGTGAAGCTAATAAAATTGCTGCTTGCGGGTGCTTCGTATATCTGTTTGCGGTTTTAGAAGAGGGTATTGTTGGTTGGAAAGTGGAAAGTTTTTTTTTTTGAAATATTCCAATCGGTTCATTGCTTTGCAATTAATTCGATTTGGGACGGATCCATGATTAAGGTTTTAAATCCCTTCCAAAAGTAATATTGAGGAGATTCGAACACATACTTTCACTCATACCTGCTTAGCTCTCATGCACCAACTAAGCTACCACCATTTGATGAAAGTGGAAAGTTTAGTTATGTGATTTTGGACTACGGAGAGCATGTGAATTTGGTTGCTGTTTGGTTGATTTTTCTAATGAAATTATATTGGAAAAAATAGTTGGTATTGTTCTTTAGATAGGAGGCTAATATTAATTTTATTTATATTACTCTTAATTCATGATGATCTATTTTATTTTTTATTTTTTATTTTTATTTTTTTGGTAGTGATCTATTTAATTTTTTTAATGTTGTAGTATTCTATTTACTTGATTTCATTTATAGGCTTACATATCTAATTTTGACCATTCATTCGTATTTAATTTTTGCTAACATATGACACTCTTAATTTCTTATATTAAATCAAATCGTGAATCACATACGTATATAACATTATTAAATAAAACAAAACTTTTAACGATTTTTAAGGTAATTCTCTCAGCAGCATCATTTCGTTTTTTAGTAGATAGCGACGGCAAAGACCCGAAAAAAGAAAAAAGACAGATAAGAAGATACATTATTAAATAGAAACCCCTTTTTTTGTTGAAAAGGAAACCCATTTTTACACATAAAAAAGGAATTTTCTTTTTTAGTGGTTTTGAAATATAAGCATAATTTTAATTTTAATTTATATTATTTTTGATTAATTAACACATTGTAATTTTTAAATTATTTAATAATTTTTTATTAAATGATTTTACTCCAAAACTCACCTTTGAATTGAAGATCTTATCATACATATCGTATTTGTAAAATATTATTTTAACCTAAAATACTTTATATATATATATATATATATATATATATATATATATATATATATATATGAGATATAATCCATTGATATTAGTGTCAAATTTAAAATTTGATACCTCATGTGAGAGCCGTTAGATCAATGGTGTCACATGCTTACAAATCAGAGCCGTTAATCTTTTTTGATTTAACGGCTCTTAGATGAGGTGTCAAATTTCAAATTTGACATTGGTGTCAAAGGATCTTGTCTATATATATAAATATAGGGCTTATCGTTTCTCAAGCTGCCGGAGATAATTTTATCTCCGGCTAATAAATCATAACCGTACAAAGATGGATTAATGGTAATAAAGGAAGAGAGAGAAAAAAGAAATCATAACCATTCAAAAGTGAATCAATTAATATAAGAAAATAAATAAACAAAACGACGTAGTTTTAGGATGGCCGAAGATAAGCTTATCTCAAGTTGCCGGAGAAATATTTTTCCCATATATATATGTATATTTATATTTATATACATATATATATTTATATTTATATATATATATATATATATATTTAATATATGAAAATATGAATTATTTTATTATATTTTTATTGCTGTTCAATTTTTATAGTGAAAAGTTCACCAATGCTCCTGTGATTTGCTTCAGAATCATCTATGCCCTGTGTTTTTTTATCATATATGTCCCTGTGCTTTGTAAAAAATAAAAAACCACAGAGACATATGTGATAAGAAAAACAT